GATCCCCGACATGGAGGACATTGAGGATGATGACGAGGCCATCATAAGGGATCCACAGGCTGAGTCAAACACGCAGGCGTAAGCCCACGCCCCCTGCGCCTGAAGATTCAAGACATACTGACACTCTCCACAGTCCTCTGCGCACATACACGCTCTACATCACATATTCAGCACACTACCGGACACCACGGTTATACCTCTCTGGTTATGGCTCCACCTCTGTTCCACTAAAACCCCAGGAGATGATGGAGGATATTGTCGGAGACTACAAGGACAAGACCGTCACAATCGAGGACTTTCCTTTCTTCGAGAACCCTCTCAAGACGGCCTCAGTACACCCTTGTAAACATGCATCCGTCATGAAGGTGCTTCTCGACCGCGCTGATGCTGCCTTGAAGCTGCGACTCGCCAAGCTCAAGGCTGGCAAAGACGTTAGCAAGCTCGATAGCGGCATGGAAGCCTTGGTTGATGACACACGGTTACTGAAGCTAACCGAGCAAGCCAAGGGCAAGGATGGTGAGGAAGCCAAGGACGACTGGGAGGTGCTGAGCGAGGGTGATGACGAAGAGGTGGCTATACGCGTGGATCAGTATCTGGTTGTCTTCCTCAAGTTCATGGCTAGGTAAGTTGATCTGTCCCATTACCAAAGGACCATGCTAACACACAATAGTGTCACACCAGGCATAGAGCATGACTTCACTATGGGTGTTTGATTGTTGACCGTCTTTCTTTGGGACATGACTTGGCGTTAAACGGCATCATCTTGATAATTATAGGGTGGGTAAACTGATGAGCGGGCGTAGCAATAGACATGGATCTGATCGGCATATCAGAGTATCAATCGCCATTTACTTTTCTCTTTTGAAAACAATAAGCATTTCAAGTATTGTCATCACTGCATGTCCGATCAAATGAAGAAGAAGAAACGATCAAGTATTTGATACTAATGGCGACGGCGGAAACTTCCAAAAGACTGCTTCCAGTTTTGGACTCCTTCAGGTCGACGCAGTTCCAACTCCTTGCCCTCATACCCAAAACTGCTCTCTGCGCGGTGGAACATCGCACATAGCCTGTCATACATACTGGCTTCCTTCAAGGCCTTGGGAAGGGCTGAGGGCGCTTCCAGAGTACCAGGTGCGATATCGCCAGAGAAGTCTTCTGCCTCCTCCTCGATTGTGATCTTTCCCTCTTCATCTGTTGATGGAGCATCCAGAAGTGCGTGCAACTTCTTGTTGAGACGGGCCCGCCAAGGATCAACGCCAAATGACGACGCTGAAGATGAAAGGCGCTCAGCAATTTGGAACTGTTCAAGTTAGTACATGGGTTTGGTCAGATTGAATATTCCCAAAGACATACCTCTGCCAGCCCCTGTAGTCGGTATTGCTCAGCCCGTTTTTGAAGTCGAGGTGCTGATGGTGTGATTGGTACTGCACAAGCAAGTGCGAAGAGGGCCGCGAGGACCATGAAGATGTAAGAGCGCATGTTGAAGGAGAGAAGGGGGTGCTGGTGTTGATAGTTCGAATTCAATCAACTTTTGGTGGCTGTCAAAGCGAAGTGGGTGTAGTATGAATACACACAAAGATACCAGCGCTCTTATCAAAAGTAGCGAAAAGAATGTAGAAGAAGGATAGAGCTAATATGTAGTTCAACCACAAACGAAAGGCAAGGGTTGAAGAATGAACAGATGGAGCCTGAGGCGATACCCACTTGTATATATCGGTCCACGGACAGGCCGGGGTAGCTACTGAAGAGCGGTACGCTTAGGGTGTATCAGAATGCCCAAACCTTAATCCTACGGGCTTACATGCTATATGTGTACGCACCAAAGGGCGCAGCTATAAGGCCTTCCGGGATTGACGTGGTGCCGTTATTATTCCGAAACAGAGGTCCGCGCACTAGACGGCAAAGATCGGTGGCGTGGAAGAAACAAACGAGGCGATTCGCGCCCGCATTCGGTGCCCTTGCAGCGTTTGCCCTAGGGGCCGTCCACTGGAGGTGGCGCGATTCAACCGGTCCAGCCGTGGCATGATGCTAAACGCTGCCGTCATCATGCGAAGATGCCGTCTCCCATTTAGCAGTAGGAACCCTAATGGCTGAAGTTGAGATGGCTTGGACGGATAGATTGCAGGCATCTACACAGTACCATACTCTTGACGATGCTGACGACTCCAGCAATATATCGACTGGAAGAATTGAACAAACATTGTCACAGCAGCTCAGCTATGTGTGGACAATGAGGCTGATGTATACGTATTAGACCGAGGGATGGGCTTGGAGGATTGTGGGTTCAGTCTCGAAAGACGCAGGGGTGAAACAAGACGTCGTAGCTGATTGCGCGTCAACGCGGGAAGGCTAGCAGCAAACATATTCGGGACGCACAGACACCAGTGCCTGGTCATCGTATGTCGAAACAATGCAAACCTGCCAAGGGCCTCCTGTCAGCCCCCAACCTCCCTACCTCACACCAACGTCATCCAGGGCCCTGTGACGTTGGAAACGGCATTCACTAGAGTTTTCGTGATCGTTACAGTTGAGCTTCTGATTTCGTCGTATGGAGACCGACGCCTCAGAACGATGACTATTCGCGTATTCAGACATTCTACTTGGAGAAGAAACAGGATGTGCTTTCTAGATACATCTTGACTACCCTGACTGGCACCCATCTCACCAACACGATATTATCCGGTATGGACCGCCATGCTAAGACAGCGCGCGCAGAATCGTTATCTCAGACATCAGGAACACCTATAGCAGGCCTTGATTTGAGTAAACTTCCGCCGATAGCTATACTGAAAACACGCTTGAACCAGGATGAAGAGAAATTGCTCAAAGAAACTTTGCGCCTGTACAATGCGTCGCTCACTACGGACATGTCAAGGGCAAAAATACTCCTAGGTAAGGTGGGCACTAAGGGAAGAGCTGCGTTTGAGTTGCGCTCGAGGAACCTAATCGCTGAAGAATTTGTAACGCCGAAACGCCGTGCTAGTCCTGCACAGATAGGAACACCTAACAAGAAACAAAGGGTCTTCAAGTCGCCAGATGGAACTATCTCGGCTAGTCAAGAGGGTTATGCTGCGAAGAAAGGAGCCGAAGAGACGTCCGACAATGAAGACGAAGCGCCGATCCAGAAGTCGAGTTTTTCACAGTCTCCGCCATTGCATGCTGAAGACGAAGTGCCCTTTCCAACGATCGTCGAGAACGGTTCAAGCATTGACATTGTTTGGGTTGTCAACTTGAATTGGATAGAGGCTTGTGTAAGCGCAGGGCACCTCGTTCCTCTAGGCGACAACTTGATGTATCAGGGCAAAGTGCAGCAACGACCAAAACCAAGCAGCACCAAATCCATCAAGGATGTTTTTTCAGTAAAGCCAAAAGAGCCACCTGCATCTCAGACACTCAAACCCGCGGTGCCACGTCAGTCACAAAACATCCTGGATCGAGCAAAGTTGGATGCGCCTACAGTGACAAGCAAAACTACACATCAGCCTCCCCAATTTGGTAATCAAGCGCCTCGGCGCTTCGGTAACAAGAATTTAGCGCCCTCTCAGCCTTCGACCCACTCCTTTGCTTCACAGACGGCGCTTCTGCTTCAGCAAACGACGAGTGAGTATGAAGGTGAAGATAGTGATATACCGCCACCGCCCGAGTGGGTGAAGCAGAGCGTCAAGTATGCATGCCAGCGCTTTACACCCGCCAGCGGGCCGAATGAGGATTTCATAGACCAACTCAAGAAGATTAGGACTAATCGGATCCTTATCGAGGATGAGATAGGCGTACGTGCGTACTCGACCATTATTGCAGCCATTGCAGCCTATCCGTACAAGATCAGTCACCCACGTGAGATTGCGCAATTACCAGGGTGTGACGAGAAGACTGCGGTTCTTTTCGTTGAATGGAAGAATACCGGTAAAATCAAGGAAGTCGAGGACTATGATAACGATGAGGCAATGAAGGTTCTGCGTCTATTCTATGATATATGGGGTGTCGGAGCAAAGACGGCGCGACATTTCTACTACGACAACCACTGGACGGAGTTGGACGATGTCATTGAACATGGCTGGAATGACCTTGACCGAGTGCAGCAGATTGGCATCAAATACTATGAAGAGTTTCAAGAGCCGATTCCACGTGCTGAAGTCGAACACATAGCCGCTGTTGTTCGAGACCATGCGGTAAAACTCCGGGACAAACGTATCAGTGTCACCATAGTCGGTGGCTATAGACGTGGCAAATCAGTTTCCGGTGATGTGGATATAATCGTATCGCACCCTGAGTTGGAAAGTACAGCGGGATTAGTTCAGGAAATTGTCGAGTCATTGGAAGATGCTCAGTGGATCACGCACACCTTGACGATGAGCTTGGCAAACACGAAGCGCGGACAACACACGTTACCTTTTCGTTCCGCAAAAGGAGCTGGAGTAGGATTCGATACTCTCGATAAAGTACTAGTAGTGTGGCAGGATCCTGCTTGGCCAACTCGTGAAGAGGACCTCGAGCGAAACCCACAGGCGAAGAACCCAGCTATTCATCGTCGAGTCGACATCATCGTTGCACCTTGGCGAACGGTGGGTTGTGCAGTCATGGGCTGGAGCGGTGGCACGACATTTCAGCGAGATTTGCGGCGGTATGCAAAACATGTGAAGGGCTGGAAATTCGACAGCAGCGGCATTCGCAGTCGAGCTAATGGTGAAGCTATCATGGTTGAAGGGCCAGATGATGTTGAAGGGACCCCGAAGATGCAGAAAAAGCAGTATTCAAAGGGCTAGACTTGGAATATATACCGCCTGAGTATAGAGTCACGTATTGAAAGAATTAGTCACAGCATAGGTTAATGTGATGACCACTTTGTCATTCTGCTCACTTTAACGCCTTCAATAAGCCTCTTCACACACGGTACCTCACGTCACAACTCCAGAATAAAAAAAATATGATCGTTCAAGTATCACTCTAGCGCTATACATCGAAATCCCAATTCTCCGGCTCTCCAAGTTATCTCTACCATGACCCCTCACACACTCCTCACCACCCCCCTAAAACTCCTCCACCTCCTCACCGGCCTCACCCTCTACATCTCCATCCTCCCCATCCTCCTAGCCTGGCGCTTATCCCTCACCCTCCTCCACCCCTTCCCCCTCTACACCCACGCACTCTCACACTACCAACACCACCGCACCACTCTACACACCCTCCCCATCCTACACCCAATCATCAACCACCGCATTGGCATCACATGCACCGCTCTCCTCCTCGCCCAAGCCACTCTCGCCATAGCACTAGTCGATAAATCTCTTATGCATTTTCCACCCTGGCTCAGCGCGCATGCTCAGAGAACGGAATACAAGATTGAGCATGAAAGGGAGTGGCAGAGTGAACTTTTACTGTGTGTATCGGGCTTTTTGATTGTTTGTGCGCCGTTTTGCGGTACGCTGGGGGTGGGGGCGGGGGTGCTGTGGCATGTGAGGGAGATATGGAGGTGTGGGGGATTTGATGGGGAGGGGGTGGATGGGCGGGTTGAGGGGAAGGAGGAGGATGGGTTTGGTGGTATGAAGGATCTGGTTTTACCGTTTGAGATTTCACGATGTGGTGAGCTTGTTGCGTCGAAGGAGTTAGGGGATATGCGGGATTGGGAGGAGGTGGATATCTCGGTTCCTTCGCCAGTTGTGGTTCCGGTATCGCAAGGAAGGTTTAAGAGGAATCCATACACGCTGGCTGGTGTGATGGCGATTTGGGGCTGGAGAAACGACAGGGTGAATAGGGGGTATGACGGGCGAGATGTGCGGAGAAGGAGTTTTGAAGAGGATGTTGAGATAGGCGAAGGGCCGAAGAGGACATGAAGAGAACAATAACATAGTCTGAATGATCCTTTGCTGTCAATTACTTATGAACGAGACAGGGATGGTTAGAATTGAGAAACAGAAGAAAATATCACTATCTCCAAACAACTGGGATATCACCTGAACCCTTCCACCTACTGCCTCTCTCGAAATCCGCCTTCAAACCCTCAAACACTTTTTTTCTCCATACAGCACGACATGATTCAAGAAGTCTTGGCCTGCCCCTTCGCAGCATCCAAATGCCACCTCATAACCTTCTCAAATATACCTTTGCCCTCTCCCTCAATAACATCTCCATGGCACGGAATGATCCTTTCGAATCCCCACTTGTCAATCTTCTCCATACTCTTCGAGAAACCGCTTCGATCCTTTGCACTGGTTCCATACCAGATGGTGCGCTGCTGCCACTTCGCATCACCCTTTGTGCTCTGCAGCATATTGAAGATCTTGCTTAGGATTCCTGTGTTTGGGTCGACACCCGACTTGCTGAATTGCTCCGTTGCTGGCAGATTGAACATGAGGTCTGCGAGGATGAGACTGCGCGTGGGGCGGTGGTGGAAGACTAGCTCTTTGTTGACGTGCGAGGGGACATACTCCCAGTCAAACTCTGCGTCGAATTCGGGTGAGATGGAAGTCACGGGCTTCGAGGCGCTGAAGAGGACACTGAAAGGTACATTTTCGTTGTTCTGCTTTGCGCGCTTTTCTGGGAGCATCTCTGGGCCCATGACTTGTGCATTAGGGTATTCTGTGTGCCAGGGACCGAGGAAAATGTGGTGCTGTGAGTGTTTAGTAAGGTGTATTTTAAGCAAAGTTCTTATTACAATGGAGAAGAGACATACCTCGTTGTCTAGGGCTGCGATGTATTTGACTTCGCCCATCTCAGACACTTTGCGCTTGACATCTTCGGTCAAGGCGACGGGCGAGAAGACGGCAAGAGCACCGGATTCAAGGCGCACTGTGGCTATTGTTAGTTATTGGCTCATGACACCCCAGAAAAATAAAATATACCGATAGTTCCTCTTCCGCCGATCTTGACGCGACCGAACCTCCAAAACGGTACTGAAAGCGTAGTCACTATGCGCGGGACCACATCTCGAATCACCATAACACTGGCGGGATCGGAAGGTACTAGTTTTGAAGTCATGCTGGGCCGAGAGAACTTGTGAATGTGTGAACGAAGGAAAGTGAGTTCAGAAGACAGTCGAAGGGTCTGTTAAAGTAAGACGCGCAAGATGTTTGGGGGGACGTAATGCAGGGTCCTTAGGTTATGACGCAATACTCAAGATTACAATTCGAGAACTTGCGGAACACGAACTGTCAAGCACAAGTTTGAGAATTATATGCATATTCAAGTGACGCCTCGGCCGATACATCGTGAAGCCTGCTACATCTAAAATTGATTTGGAATTCATGGTGGGGAGATAACATGCGAGTAATTGTTTCTCGCATGGACCGAGGTGTCGTGGCTCGTCCGATCCTAAAGCGACGGGCTTTGTCAGCGCCATCACCAAACCACAAGTTCTAGAAGTGGTGTTCACATCAGTCGTGTGCCGAGGATGACATCCATTTTCTTTTCACATGTCTATGCTTATTCATTAACTATTCCTCTCTCCGGAGCTCTGAGTTGCTCCATGCACCTTAGCCCTATGACCAACGTTTGCGATTCGCCATCTGGTTTTCGGTTATCCCGTAGTTTTGTGTAGGGATACGGCGGACCGTCGATCCACAACATCGATGGACCCACAACCCGTCCTCTCGTGGGAATGTTCCTGACCGAGCATATGGCTCGGCGGACGAATTTCGCGGTCGCGCGACCTTAGTATTTGAAAGCATCGCAGGCTAGACGATTGTGCCAGACTCTCAGGCTGTTGTATCATGCAACTGTTTTGTAGATCTTCACCTGGCGTTTTCAGCACTCAGCTCAGCCATCAGTCCTCCTGCATCCCTTTCCTTCGCATCTTCTTCAAGCCTTTTCTGGATGAACGCGCCTATGTCCTTGACCTTTTGTTGCGCAATGTTTGTGCAATTGAGTAGGGCGAGCGGGTGGATAGTGGCCCCTCCATATTTGGCGATCTGACAAACCTCGCCGTGCTTGTTCATGGTAATAATTACTTCTCCTTGTCGAACTTGCTCTTCAGCCAGGTTTGCATCCACCAAAAATATCTCCCCTTCGAAATACGAGAATGTTACACATAGTGGCTGGTGAAGAATAGACAGGGGTATCGGTTCGCGTTCACGTACGCTGAGAATGGTTGCTTTCTCGCCTTCGACTACGACATCGGGTCTCCTAAAGTGCTGTAGTGCTGCCATGACAGCAATGCAGGACGCATCGATGAGGCCACCGTCATGATCAACTATATGTACGTCTGCGCGGAGAGCAAAGCATTTCAAGCCGGCAATTATGCAAAGCGATTCGGTATCGAGAGCGTTGGAGCGACGAATGGCCTTTTCGAGTATGCGCGAGAGGATTACTTCAGCATCCGTAGGGCTAGGACAAGATTAGAATCGTCGCAGAACAGGTCGTTGTGAAATGAGACATACCGGCCAACCTCGAATGCTGGTGACGCCATTGGAGAGAACTCTGTGACTATCTGGAAGATGCCGTCGAACTTGCGCTCTGGGGGCGGTGTTGTTACGTCTACTGAGATGCGAGCAATGACTCTGAGCTTTGTTAGCTTGCGCATACAAAACTAGACTGTACCCATGTACCTGGTCTTGCCTAGTTGCACATCGGCGACGCCATATTCATCGCCAAAAGTGAGCTCAAGCGGGCGAAAGGCGTCAAAAGCGCGCCGGTCGATGCGAATTTGCTCTTGAAGCGCTTGTTTGATAAATTCGCGCTCATTGAGCGATATCTCAGCTTCTCGAGGCATAATGCCTCCTTTAATGTATAAGGTGTTGGTTGGAATTGAAGTGGTTGTTGGACAACCATAGAAAATGCGGCGCGGGGAAAAGTGAACGCCGATGCTTAGCGCGACTTGATCATCGCGAGTCTGTATGCGCCATCTTTTGCACATCAACTACAAACACCGCCCACCATACGCAAGACTTCCGAAACCTACACACTGTCAAATAGAGGTCGCCAAATCACACGATTCTACAATGACGACCGCCCATAGACCTACGTTCGATCCCGCACGCGGCAAAGAGGCCCAGCGTGGACCTGCCTACCACCAGCGACTCCTCCCTGCGCATACAACACTCAAGCATAGACAACCAGGACAGGGCGGAGATGCCGACAAGCACAAGCGTGACCTGCGCGCCGAGCTCTTGGAGGCAGAGGCGCGCTATGCGGCGAAGAAGAACGGCACATACGTAGAGCCGGACGCCGCGGCCGAGTCTGGAAGTGCGCCTAAGCGCCAGATTGACAATGTGTCAGTTGACGAAGATGGCGAAGAAGATGAAGCAGCACAGAAACGGCGGCGAATAGAATTACTTGAAAAGTTCAGGGATGTGGATGCGGACGATAGCAGCAGTAGTGAGGAGGAGAGTAGCGACGATGAGTAGGTTCATATTGCACCTAAATACCGAGTACTCAACTAACATTGTGACAGCGATGAAGACGGCGAAGGAGCCCTCCAGAGGGAGCTCGAGAAGATCAGAAAGGAGCGTGCTGCAGCTAAAGCCAAGGAGGAGGCCGAACGAGCTGCCGAAGAAGAACAACAACGTGAAATCGATGTTGCTCGGGGTAACCCTCTGCTCAACGCCAAAGACTTTACCATGAAGCGCCGATGGGACGACGATGTCGTATTCAAGAACCAAGCACGTGGTACAGAGGACAGGAACAAAAAGAAGGAATTCATCAACGACATGCTGCGGTCCGACTTTCACAAGAAGTTCATGGTAAGTAACTGTAACTCACGATATGCCCGACAGTGCTGACAGAATGCGACAGTCCAAATACGTGCGATGAGGTCATTGCGCTTTTCGGGGTTGTTTTCGATTGTAGCTCGCGTGCATTGCTGGCGTTCATGGGTCTTGGCGTACTGGGTCTAGAATCATTCAGGCGGACTGCGTGAACAGCGTGGGATACCCCAGATCTTGGCGGGAATTAGGGAGCCAGTGATGGAACGGAATCTTGCAGAGGCCTTATCGTTATCTCGATCAGCAGTTGCGACTACCACTCATGGATGTTGGCTTTATCTATCGCCTCTGCCCATCATTCCTGGGCACCGATCCAATCACACGTATATTTGGTCCCAGAGACTTTCTTCATGCTGTTCAGGGCAGACTATGCTACTACAAGAGGGTGCTTTTGTATCGAGACGGATATCTCTCGGGAATGGTGCTATCAACGAATCAATACAAGTGCTTCAACACGACAAATACTACGAAGCTGATGGGAGTTATTCGATTCATTTTGTCAGCCACATTCGTCCGATCTACACAATCAAGAGACTAGCGTCCTACAAGACTACTAAGCACACTTTAGCTCACACTTATCGGCCTCTTACAATGCTTCTGCATCCTCTGATCTACGCATCTCCCAGCAGAATGACCTCATAAGGCTTAAACTTCTCCCTTGAACATGTGCGTAACGGGACCAGCATACGTCTGGACGAGAGCCGTATGCAACATCTACATGTATATATCTTTGAGCTGCTCCTTAACAATTCAAACATAATATCCAAATTCTCACGGAAATCCCATCATCTTGTTCCCCCATAAGTTTTCCCCTTACATCCTAATTCTCCCCTTATCGGTTTCTAAATGGCAGGCTACGGTAACCGCACCGCGCCCTCCTACAGCGCCTCAGATCTCGAGCCAGAGCACAACACCACGCGCCTCGGCCTCATAGACTCACACACTCCCTATCAAAATCCGCACGAGAAACACGGGTCGGGTACGACCGGCGGTGCGGGATTCGGTACATCCTCCTTCCTTCTTCACACCCTTGCACATACCCTCTCTCTTCCATACCTTCTTTGCCTGTTCAACGAGCTATTACTGACACAAAAAAGGCAACAAACGCTCCTCCACATCCTCCACGTCCAGCACCTCAGACACGCACCTCGGCTCCAATCTATCTCCCACTCCATACTCGAACCCGGCGCCGCTGGGCAGCGGATCGACGGGCGGAGCAGGGTATGGTAATAAGACGGGAGAAATGGGGGGACCGGAGCGGGATTCTATGCTGGGCAAGGTGGTAGAGAAGGTAGGAGGGGTGGTGGGGAGTCATAAGGTGGCGCGGGTGGGGAGGGGGATGAGGGAGAAGGAAGGGTTTGGAGAGGAAAGGGAGGAGGTGATGGAAGCTAACTAGTCTTTTCGATGTTGTTTCCTCAGTTTAGGTTTCACGGTTGTGCGGTAGGTTTGATACTACTAGTGCCGTTATTGTTATTGTAAATGTCATCTCATTGAAAGATTACCAAATATACACATCGACTCTTCGTCCGAGAAAAAAAAGATATATTCTTGAGCATATGATAAAGCCTCCGTCTCTGCTTCTTCTATCCAAAGAGAGGGAAAGCTCAGCACGCCCCTCTCTCTCCACGGTGTGCGAACCAGTTCTAGACAGGATTGAGGAGATGATGGAAGAAGAACAAGAAATTGCAATGCTTGTGCTTGAACGCCCTCGCAGATGTCTCCAAATAGCGCACAAGCTCGCTCAAGTAAATGCCGCGGGAGTATAACTCAGTATATGCCTTGTGTGCGGTACTGAAACGTATCATAACTGCGATTCATGTTAACAGCGGTCCTTATGCAAAAGATAGTGCATGTCATAAGCTTACAGCCGGGTATAGTAACTTCCCACACTCTTTGCAACAAGCTCCTCAACAAAGCTTTCTGCCTCTTCTCTACTCAGATGCAGCATGAGCCTTGCTCGCAAACTGTTTGTTACACTAGCCGCGCCGGCAGCAAAACATGGCATACTGCTCTGCTTGCTCATCAAGTCAACCAGCATGATTAGCCTTTCAGCATCTTTCCTAAGCGCTTGAAACGCCTTCTTGCATAGTGTCTTGAATTCTTCAAATGCAGGCGATCCGATGCCACCAAGGACTTCGACATAGTCTTGCGTCAATTTGAAAGGGGCGGCTTCAAAGCCCATGGAACCAGGCGAGTTGGAAAGCATAAAGCCAAAATCAATGTGAATGATATGGCCCATGTTGTCGATAAGGAGGTTGCCGTTATGACGATCCTTGAGCTGTAGTACGTAACATATGATGCTGTACGCCGCTAGGGAGCGACCAAAGGCTGCTACGCCTGCAATATAGGCTTCCGAGTCGGGTTCCCCAAATGTCTTAAGCCAATGGTCCTTGAGAGTTGCGATGCGCTTTCGGGGATTGGTGCCTGCTGCTATACTAGCAAGTGTCAAGCTTCGCTTGAGGGAGTGTAGCGAGACGCCGTTCGTAATCGTTTCTATGAGACCACAGGACTCGCCGGTAACGAGGATGCGCATACGCTTTGTCCAGACCGGCACCTCTGCTTCTTCCCAGATCTTGGCGCAAACCTCGATGAGTTGACAAGCAAATGCCTCCTGCCGTAAATCTGCGCCGGTCTTGACGATGACGCTGATCAAGTCCCAGTTCTTCATATGACCGTATGGCGAGGATCGCCGTATACGCTCTCGCTTTGCGCTCCATTCTTCTCCAAAAGTTGCAGCGCTGGGATCGTCTCTGTCGCCCTTTCGTCGCATGCCACCAGTCTTAAGATCGTTTTCCATACGAGCAGCGCCTGCACCAGAGTTGGGCGTGACCACCAAAGCTTCATCAATTTCTTCCGGCTCTCCCGCGATTGCCACTGGATCTGCCTCTGCCATGATAGAATCGAACGTAGGGCCCTGGTCTTCGTTGAGGAAATTTTGTTCTTCCAGGCTTTGCATACTTGCAATAATCTTGGCTTTGATTGCTGCTACTTCGCCCTTTGGCCTCTTCGCACCACTTGCTTCCAGTTGTGCTAGCATCTGAGCAGCAGTGCGCATATGGGTTGCAAGAGCAGAAAAGTCGGGCTGGTCGACGGCCTGGCTTGCTCGGTTCATGTTTGCAGGGATAGTCATTCTTCTGCTGGGGATAGGACTGACTGACCTACTGATCTGCGAATCGGACGTCCGTGGTGTAGACATGGTGGCCACTGATGATAGGGTATTGGCTCCACTCGAGGACCTTGGTGCTGTCGCTTTGATATTGGCCGCTGCAACAGGCATGGTCACTCGTGCTAGTCCTGAGGCGATATCTGTCTCATCCGTGTCCTGGATCAGTGAAGTGCTACCGAGATCACCCGTAACAGGCTCGAATACACTGTCTGATCCATTTGGTGGAGTGCGATCGTATGATGCCAGATAGTCAGCGTTGGTGATATCAAAAAGCCGCCGTCTTGAAGTGCCTTTTTCCAGCATAAGCTTTTCGAGGAGTTTCTGGTTTTGTTCCGTGTCTGGATCAAAATCAAAGTCTTCTTCCAGCACCTCCACCATGAGCAGATATGGTACTCGCTCCGCACTGTTGAGACTGGTAGCTTCGGCGGGGTTTATTCGCACTATTCGATGGTGCTGGCTCTGCGAAGGGATTCCATCTTTCAGGGTCGGGGGTGATAGTAGCGGTATATCAACTTCAGCGGGCAAGTCTTGAGCTATCAACGCCAACTCTGCTCTGAGAGCACTCAATCGTGCAGGCTTCGGCACGACAACTAAACGATTTGAAATATCCTCGAGAGCGCTCAGGAACTGGGTTTCATTCCGGAAATAATTGGATCGCAGTAGCCGAACTTTCTGTGCGCGGGTCAGTGCTGTGGGCGAGAGAGGTCTTGGTGGGTGTGCCGAATGTTTGCGAGGACCAAGATGGAGCGGACTCGGTCCTAGGCCAGCGGTTGCCGGGGGCGTAGGGAGAGGGGAGGAGGATCCTGCATCTCGGAATTCTGGTAGCGAGGACGAGCTAAGGCGGGCTTCGGGGGTTACAGACAACAGCGACGGTCGTTGTGAGGCTGATGGTGCGCATTGAGTAGGGGGCGCTCGAATGGCCTGTTTTCTCAAGTCCTTGGGGTCGCGGGGGCGCTGCGATGGTGAACGTCCTGTTCGTCCGTCCTCGGGATCTGAAAGTTGCTGTTGCTGGGTTACCCTCTTTTGCTTGGTCCTCGGCGATCCTCCTGTGACCGTCTTGCTCCTCCCCACCTTGGCCGTCTGCACGTTATCGGAGATGATGTCCTCCACGGGTCTCGGCTTCCGCGCCTGCGCAATAGCCAGTGGCCCGGCATGAGCTGGTAGGAATGGTGCCGCTATGCTTGCAAGAACCAGGCTCGATAGGACGCTGACGGGTAATACATTCTCCTTGATCTTCTCTCTCCGCGAGGGCTCGGCGGAGCCAAAGACGATGCGCTGCACGCGATTGTAGATTCTCCTGCAGGTTTTGAAAGCGACTGAATTTGGGGCGCTTGCGAGGTCGTGGAGATATGTCTGGAAGAGCCAAAAGGTCTGCAGGGCATGAATTAGCACAAGAAGCACCAGACTAACAAGACACGGTATCCGGAAGCCCCACCAGAAGCGCGCCGTTGACCGACTCCTCGCACAAGTCGATTATGAACTCCTCGAGGGCCATGGACTCATTGTCGATGCTGATGAGGAGGTGACATAGCCTGTGGTGCCCCGCGTATGTAAGCTAGCTGTTCATGCCGTCGGCGGGTTGTGGTGTGGCGCAGGCGACGTACTGCGGCAGGAAGAACTCGAGCTCCTCGTAGGCGAACTGGCGTAGCTTGGAACAGAGCACATAGTGGATTCCGACGTGGTCTGCATACCGGCTGTGTGCATTCGCATGCATGCGTCAGTAAACAGCAAGTGAGAGGGGAGGCAATCGGCGGCAGAGGGCCGCTGCGCTCGGAGGAGAGGTGGCCACTCACGCAAGGTATGCTACTGCGAGGCTCGGATCTTGGTTGAAGTGCTCAGATTCTATAAAGCGCTCTAGCAGATTCCAACTCATCTGGGACGGC